TTCCAGAAATCTAAGAGGGTGGACCAAAATCCAATATTGCGGCCTCTAAACAGCGTATATGCATCTAAACCCATGCAATATAGGTATCCACGGAATGGGTTCGATGAGTGGAAGTGGAAAATTGACATCCGCCGCCATTTTGGAATCCAGATAAGCAAAATCACAAACAAAACATCACGGCTGATTTCATCTTAGCTGATCTTGAGAGTAGCAAAATCACACAGCAGAAAATCAAGGTTGATTTTGACCTTAGCTGATTTTGAGGTAACAAAATAACCAAACAGAAAGTCAATAGCTACCATAGAGGTAACTCTAAGACTAGTAGGTGCCGAAGAAACGTGCTCAACTTTTTGACTCAGCGCTGGTACTTTCTTCGGTCCCAAGCTAAATGATGCACCCCTCGGAAAATTCACGAACCCCTCATTTTATCTGTCAAACTTTCATAGCGAATCAGCATTACTAGCATTTCGACTAGAATGGGGTGCGTTGATCGATTTGCTTGAGACCAATCAGCGGCTCGAAAGAGTTGGAACCGGTGGGGAACATTGATGGAGATCGACTATAGAGGATGATGAATAGACTTCTGTAGTTTGCTTTGTGTGAGTTGCAGCATTATTTGAATTAAGAGTACTAATGGGGTCTGAATAACTGCCTCTTTCTCTTGAGCCCACTCTAGAACCTACATTTCGTATTTAGATCTATAAGTCAGCAGTTCAGTCTGAGTTCCTCTGGTACATTCAATTAGAGGATCCAACGCCTACGAGATTGTGCCGAAGGTGGATGTGTGCCAAAGCTGTGCCGAATCCAATTTCGGCACAATATGCTGAGTGACTTACCCCTTGGGTTCGAACAAAATATCTTTTAAAACTAGTGTAAAGATTCCTATTCGACTTAAGCGCCACCAACGCCGACTTCCTCACTTAAAAACCCTCTTTGAAAACATGATGGCACTGGCTTACTACTTACACTAGACACTAATGGCGGTAAGCTCCAACTCGGATTAACTTTTAATACCGCCCCTGTTTGGATGATCTGCAAAGTGTTTGCTTAGAGTTGTATTAATTAACTCTGATGTCGACATTAAAGCAGCCTGACATTCTTGATCGGGATTTAATCCGAGGATAATACCGGTTGGAGCTTACCACCATAAGTGCTGGTAGCGCCGAGTGGCAATTTTCAACAGATAATTTATCGATACTAGCGCCAAATTGCTCGAAAGTGGAAAATGTATAGATGAAATCAGGAGATGCTAGCGCCACGTAACGGCGACGTTCCCACTTATCTTTACACGAGTTTCTGGTGGAAGTTGGACGTCTGTTCTATCCGAGGGGGGCGACACATCTAAATCTCAATTCTAGATGCTCAAAAAATCTCACACTAGCGAATCAATCTTCGAAAAATCATCTTTCATTTCTCGCATCTACTTGCATCGCGCTTCATTTTTTTGCAAGAAATCTTCAAAATCGACATAAATCCTTCCTTCTATCTACTCAGTTTGCGTGCAGCTAGCCACAGCAAAACGCAATCTTTTCTGCATCGTAGATAGAGTCATCCCCCTCGGTTCTATCACAGAGAACAGACGTTGAGGCTCGAACAAAATTTCTCTAAAAACTTGTGTAAAGATTCCTATTTGACTTAAGCACCACTAATGGCGACTTCCCCGCTTAAAAACCCTCTTTGACAACATGATGGCGCTGGCGTTGCAAAACTTACACTAGACACTAAGTGCTGGTAGCGCCGAGTGGCAATTTTCAACAGATAATTTATCGATGCTAGCGCCCAATTGGTCGAAAGTGATAAATTTATAGAGGAAATCAGGAGATGCTAGCGCTACGTAACGGCGACGTTTCCACTTAACTTTACACAAGTTTCTGATCGAACTTGGACGTCTGTTCTCTGTGCTATAGGTCAGGTAACACAGTAGTGTAAAGATTCCTAATTAAGCGCCACCAACGCCGACTTCCTTACTTAAAAACCCTCTTTGACAACATGATGGCGCTGGCGTTGCACAACTTACACTAGACACTAAGTGCCGGTAGCGCCGATTGATAATTTCAGAAACAGAAAATTTATCGATACTAGCGCCATAGAGGTAAATCTAAGACCACTGGGTCTCGAAGAAAATCATTATTATTTTTGGCTCACTCAGTACCAGAACAACGGTCCCAAGCAGTCCCAAGCTATTTCACTCACCCCTGCATGTTCTGCATGAATCCACAACCCCTGATGTTATCTGTCAAACTTTCATAGCGAATCAAAACAAACATAGTGTAGTAATAGAATTTCAACTAGAATAGGGTACGTTAATCGTTTGCTTGGGACCAATGGGCTACTAAAGTGGTGAGCCAATTTAAAATCGTTAGTTTCGTATTGATTGTTGCTAGCGCCAAATTGGTCGAAAGTGGAAAATTTATAGATGAAATCAGGAGATGCTAGCGCCACGTAACGGCGACGTTCCCACTTATCTTTACACGAGTTTCTGGTGGAAGTACTTTGGTTCGCGTGTAAAGGGCCTTAGAAAGTTTGTTTACAAATGCTTTTGTGCCGTTATCAAATGTTATGCCTGGTATATAGTTCATTTTAGTAAACAAACTAACACTTCTTCCTTGTGTGCCACCTTTGATGAAGCTCCTAGCTGGCGTTGCATAACTTACACTAGACACTAAGTGCCGGTAGCGCCGATTGGTAATTTCAAACAGAAAATTTATCGATACTAGCGCCAAATTTGTCGAAAGTGGAAAATTCATAGAGAAAATCATGCCTGGCAAGTTTTGCTATAAGAAATGTTCCTCGTGTTTATTAGCGAAATTTACATCAAAGGTTCATTAATTGCGTAGGAAATCAGTTTAGCACGGCATTTGTGACCACCATACACCTTCCGGTTGAATGAAACAGGTCAAAAACTGTCCAAATTCACCATTACAGGCAAAGAACTCACCAACACTGGGAAACCGTGAACTCCTGCCCACCTGTGATAAAACCATCTCGACTAGCGCCATCATGTTGTCAAAGACGGTTTTAAGTGGGGAAGTCAACGTTGGTGCCATCTACTACTCATCCAATCGCGTCATATCATGAGCAAGGACAGGAACACACGTAGCATTTATATCACAGAGAACAGACATGGAGGCTCGAACAAAATTTCTCTAAAAACTTGTGTAAAGATTCCTATTTGACTTAAGCGCCACTAACGGCGACTTCCCCACTTAAAAACCCTCTTTGACAACATGATGGCGCTGGCGTTGCACAAATTACACTAGACACTAAGTGCTAGTAGCGCCAAGTGGCAATTTTCAACAGAAAATTTATCGATACTAGCGCCAAATTGGTCGAAAGTGGAAAATTTATAGAGAAAATCAGGAGATGCTAACACCACGTAACGGCGACGTTCCCACTTATTTTACACAAGTTTCTGACCGAGCTTGAACGTCTGTTCTCTGTGTTTATATTTAATTGACAAATCTACGTTACGGTCGACCGGCAGATGGAAATGATGTGAAAATGATAATGACGTTTTGCTACCTGTCAAATCGTATGGAATATTTTTTAGTACATCATCACTTTTATGGTTTTGGAATCCAAACCTAGGGTCGCATGCATTGGTGCAGTTTCGCGTAGATTCATCAATTGGCTTGGTTTGCGTCTCACCTCGTTTGAAATTGAAAGATCTGATCGCATGTTTTAAAGATCGAATCGCTCGTTTCAAAAATCGAATTGTGGACAAACGAATGCTCCTGTGGCATGTCAGTTCATCGGTGCCTTCAGTCCGTGTCAAAAACTACAGTGAGTGATGAATTTTGAAGCCATACAGATCGGCATTGTTAAAAGCTTGCAATGGAACTACCTTCATAAACGGATGGTAGGACAATCCAACAAATGGTTTGGAGGATACCCCGAACACGTCGTTAAGCTCTTGCTTATGATTATTTTAATTAGGGTATCGTTACCGTTGATTGATTTTCCTGATATTCGAGCTAATTTTTGAGGAAAATCGTGGAAAATTCAACTCATCGACTGAGTAACACAACTTTTAGCAATTATGCGAGCAATGCACCACTTTATCAAACATTTTTGTCGTGACTTTCTACAAGAGATTTCAAAATACTTGGCCGTTCGCAATGCTGTTGTATTTTATAAGGACTGTTTCAATTTGAAACTAGAACAGAAACGCACCTCTCGCAATGCTGAGTTGCAGTTTCATTATTCGAGCACTATTTTGCACCAGATTTGCAACTGCTCGACTATTCTGTTTTATTTCTGAGCGATTTTGAAAACACGAATGGAACTCTGTTTCAAATTTCTGTATGTATTTAAAGATGTTTCGAAGAGCTTCACAAAAAAACTCTATGAACTTCATAGAGAACAGTAAATTTTATGGAACTTGGTGATTACAAACATCTTTTAGAACTGTGCGTTGCGCTGATCGTGTTGCAGTTTTATTTTTGACAGTTTCAAATTATAGAATTGTCAAGTCGTTTAAAACAATTTTGCAACTCAGCATTGCGAACGGCCTTACAAATTAATTTCATTCGAGCAGTTGAAAATGACGTTTCCTACCACTCGAATATTTTGAGATTTTTTCTTCTAGAACCACGATAAAACCAGCCAAAAGTGGAGCGTTTCATAATAATATTGAAATTTGATTTGTGAGTCCAGTTTTGTTGAATCGCTGGTAGAAAGTCACGCTAAAACTACTTGACGAAGTGGTTCCTTACTACCTAGCATAGGTGAGGACGTGCTTAACAAGGATTTATTCTATAAGAAAATTCTAGGACTTTTCAGCACGCCTGATACTGCTGGGACCAATAGGAAGTGGTTTAAATTTACCACAACGATCGTACCACATTTACCCGAAATAAGTTCTTCTAAACGTGCAAAACGTTACATTTACCCTTAGACGGACATCCCACACAGACCGTAAGAATCATGTCGACGATGGTGACTCGAGCTCAATTTGTCAAATCCATCATCCAATGCTATTTACATAAAATTACCTCCGCTCAAAGCCGCATCATGCTGACCAGTGCCGTCCCGTGCTGCTGCTGTCCGACGGTATTTTTATACTCGGCAACACAGGTCTTGGTGAGCGGCTTCCCACTAGGCCGCTGGTAGCACGCATTGTCGTAGCATCGCTCCAGCTCCTGAATGAAATCCATTATCAACCGACTGTTGCCCCCGTTCGGTCCGACGTAGTAATCGCACTGGTAGGAAAATCGCTTCATATCCCGAATGCAGCAGTCCAGGAATTCCGAATTAGCACTGAACCACTTGTTCAGACTCGTTGGCTTGATCCGGGCGTGGCCCGCCAGAATTCCCGTGACGTAAGTATCGTCGATCCAGAAGAATGGAACCGATTCCGATTGTAGCACCAGCTCCCGGGCCGTGTTCTGATTGGCGACGTACAGCCAACCGGACAAGTACGGCGGATACACATCTCGAGGATACTCCTCTCTAGAAACGAACCATTTGTTGCCTTTCAGCCTGATAACCTTCTTGTTGCTGAAAGCAAATCCCGCCAACAGTGCACCTTGCTCCTTCTTCTGGCCCACATCGGAGAGGTAGTTCTGAATAAAGAACGGATCGAACACGATATCATCATCCATTTTAATCACAAACCTAGCCCTCGGGCAATGTTCGGTTGCCCACTTGAGGCTCATCACGTGTTTGTACGTCAGGTTTCGATACGCTTCCTGAAAATTCCCCTGAATCAAATCACCGAACAGCACCTGTTCGCTTTCAATCGCTTTCTGCGTGATAAACCTCTCCTTTTCCGGAATGCTGCCCAGCGAGAAAATCCTCAACAGTCCCATCGATATCAGTTTCTGCTGCGAAATGGCTTGCCTATGCGCTGCCCGCAGTGCATCGTTTCCAACGTACGACGTGACCATGATCACACCTACCAAGGAAACAAAACAAAATGAATTCCAAACGAACCTGATCAAACATTCTGAAAACCAAACCCAACAACTCCGAGTAGCTTCCGTTTTCCTTGCAAACGTCGTTTGCTATGCGGAAGTGAAAGTCGGTCAAATTGACCAATCGGTTGGCATCCGGTTTCTTATGATCCACCTCCGACGATTGCAGCAACGTTAGAAATCCGGTTCCGTCGCCACCGCCACTGCTTTCCAACGGTTTCAAAAAGAGGAAGTTTCCATCGCTGTCCACTTGGAAGGAGTAGCGATAGAGCAGGTACAGGATCAGCAGAGCTATGCTGAAAACCAAAAATCGGTGGAACTTTCTCATGGTTGCACAATGCACGCGCGCACTTTTTGCTTTTAAAGAAACATTACTACACTTTATAATTGGCACAATAATACTAAAGGTGGCACTGTGGTGGGATCACGGACATTCGATGTCACGATTCTCGAAACAAAATTGTGTGGGCGGATAATTTTTTCTTGCACGAAGAGCTGTTTGATGTAAACAATAACATAGCTGGCAGCATAACATCATAAAAATAGGGCAAAGGAGCCAACGAAAATCGTGTTTGTGTGACAGTTTCTCACGGTTTGTTTCGTTTGGTTCCCATTAGGGAGCACGTGAAAAGTGAAACTGACAAAAAGTACACGACACGGTTAATCTGAACACCGCATTTATGGAGTATCTTTTCTATATGGACAACCCGCATAATAAAATGATTGCTGATCGATATTATTTATTATCGGTATACCGCATTACCGGACAAAATATCCATGGGACGTCTCGGGAGTCACGTATTAGAGCATCTCCACCGTTAGTTCTCATTTCGGTCGTTAAATGACGCCTCGAATCGGTCTCTATTTAGGAAACCGAGGGGGAGGGGGTGACTATCTACGAAGCAGGAAAGATTTCGTTTTGCAGTGGTTAGCTGCGCGCACGATGAGCAGATAGAAAGAAGATTGATGACGATTATGAAGATTTCCTGCAAAATATTATGCACGATGCAAGTAGATACGAGAAATGAAAGAAGATTTTTCATAGATTGATTCGCAACAAGGATAGAAATCTCCTTATACCTGATATTATTCAACGGAAGACCTTCGCGGATCGAAATAAAAGACTCGAAGTACTAAGAGAGAACGATTTCAAAAACACGTGTTTATTCATGGAACTTTGTTCGTACATTAATAGGTAGGTAAAAGGAAAAACCACCCCAGGAGCTATTTGACAGCACCAGTATAATGTCAATGTACCCCGAAAATTCTGGTACTCTGGTTCTGTCAAATCGAATAATGGTGGAGTAAATTTACAATTGGTCTTATTTTTGATCAACTCTTTTTTAAACGTTTTTGAGTTTTGTTTTTGTAAAAACATTGATATTTTTCTCATACTTATCCAATCGACTCAACATAACGGGATCGGAAAATGCCTATCTGTGAGAGCGCGTAACAAATTTTTCTTAAATGAATTTCTCGGCAACCACTCTACCGAATTGAACGCAACAGCCATCAAATGAAAGGTACCATGATTCTATAGAATGCCCCAATAAACATGTACCATTCACTAACGATATCATAGATGGTACGACCATACCACATAAAGTTAGTATGATAATCCAAATTGGTGGTTAGGCGCTTCTTATGGTTATTGTTAATGCGTGTGTTGATTAATAGATTTTCAATCGAAGAACTGGTCTCGGAGATATGGACGGAACAAGACCCGAAAATCGCGAAATTCGCGATCTAAACGAAGCAACCAGCTAAGAAAAAAAGTATTATGGTCACATTGAATGATGTTGATCAAATTTAGAATCGGTCAACTATTTCCGATAGACATGCATTTTTGGAGCTAAGTCGTATTTATCGGTAATAACTAATGCGAATTGCAAGCAACAACCACCAAATGAAAAGTATCATGATCCCATAGCCTCGTCCATAGAGCTTTAATGAACAAATTCAGAATCGGTCAATTTGTGCTGGAAATGTGGCAGGAACATGTTTTGGGGAATGTGAGCCATGATACTAAATTTGACCGGTATGGAATAAAACCTATCATGTTACAAAACAAATTACTTCAAATATGTTAACCAATTCAATTGTGGCCATTTCGAGCGCCGTGGATCACATTGGTCAGTTCCGGGCATGTCCCAGATGCCCCCGAGGAATTAACCAAACCAGACCAAATAATGAATTTTGATTTCATCAAATCGATTAAATTCCAAGATATGAGGAAAATAATGCAACATCAGTAATACGTCTCACTCAAAATCTATTCTTGGCCTGCTTTCGACGTCCACATGAAGTGAAACAACAACATGTTTTCTGATGTGAAAAAAGTTGTGCCACCAACGATGGCTGAACCCATTGTTTACGTACGGTGGAGACATCTACAATTTGTAAGTGGGTACGTGAAACTAAGATTTTCTGTCTAGATACTCGGGGGGTGGGAAAAACAGAAATAGTCCGACAGCAGTAGCGTCGACAAATGGGGCACACAGGGTTGTGCAATGGATTGAGCATAGGCGTAGGGTTTGCATACTTAACACGCCCGCTCAAACTCTGCTACTGGTCAATCCAAGGTACTCACGGAACTTCCTGAAAGCAGGGCCTGGCAGACTCTTCGTCGGTATGTCTGCTTGCTGCTTCAACGTAGGGATATACTCGATGCGTATCTGGTTGCTCTCCAACAGTTCTCTGACGAAAAAATGCTTCACGTCCAAGTGCTTCAGCCGCCCAGAATCCTTCGGGTTAGCGGCTATCTTCATTGTGGACTGGTTGTCCTCATGGTAGGTGATTGGGGCCACGGGCTTAGACCCGAGATCTTCCAGAATCCTGACCAACCACTGACCATGGCAGGTGGCCGCGCATAGTGCGATTAGCTCGGCCTCCGTAAAAGAGAGAGATACGGTAGCTTGCTTTTTCGCACTCCAGCTCACGGTAGCACCATACACCTTAAACACTGCACCCGAAACGGACCGACGATCGGTGATTTCATTCGCCCAGTTGGCATCGGAATATGCTTCGAGCAATGGGCCAGCATCGTCTCCTCGGTAGACTAGCACAAAATCCAGCGTTCCTTTTATGTAACGTAATACACGGTGCAAGTATAGTCGCTATATTCATAGTCTGGCGGATAGAATCTCGGGAACCAATTGAGCTGTCAAATAGCGGAACCAATCGAGCAAATCACGACCAATAACAGAAAAAGAGCACATCAGCTATTGCGAACAAAAATTCGGAAACTCTTTTCTCGTGACTCAAGGCTCGCCTACGCAAACTAACACCATCTTTGGGTTGAGGAAAGTTTCCCCTATCCGATGATGCCGGTAATTTGTAATCGATTGGCGAGGAAGCATAATCAACGTTTTGTTTATTAAAGTGGATAGTACCTTTTCAATTGTTGGTCTAAAATATATTGAATTGGTTCCGCTTTTTGATAGCTCGAAGTTCTATCCGCCAGACTATGAATATAGCGACTATAGGTGCAAGTGGGCCCAGTGGATCTCGTTGGGGCAAACCTGAAACTGGGTAAAATAATTTGCAGCAACAGCCAGATCCGGGCGGGACGTCAGTGACACGTACATGACGCATCCAACTAACTCACGATATGGCTTGCTCGTCCGCTGTGACTCCTCGCCTCTTGGTAGTTTAAGCTGGTTCTCTATCGGCGTAGCGATCGGCCGGCAGTCCTGCATCTGGAACCGATCCAAAAGATGTTCCAAATAGCGTCGCTGGCTGATCCGAAGGGTTTTCTGCTCCATATGCCGGTCGCTTCGCATTCCTAGGAAATTCTTCACAACGCCGACGTCCGTCATTTCGAATTCGGTGGCGAGACATTTCTTGATCGTATCGACTAGCTTCGCAGAAACGCTGACGATGATAACGTCGTCCACATAGATGACCAGGATAACTTGGGTATCTCCTGATCCCCGACAGTACAGGCACATGTCGTTGCGGCTTCTCACAAATCCCAGGCGAACGACGAAGCTGTGGAACCGTTCGTTCCACGACCTAGCCGCCTGTTTTAGGCCGTATAGTGACCTATTCAAGCGACAAACGAGACCGTCGTGATGATTGAAACCCTCCGGCTGGCGCATATATATTTCCTCGTTTAGCGCTCCGTTGAGGAAAGCGCTTTTCACGTCTATTTGGTGAACGATCCAACCATTGCGATTTGCCAGTGCCAACACCGTGCGAAGTGTGTCCATCCGTGCAACAGGTGCGTACGTTTCGGAATAATCAAACCCCAGCTTCTGGGTAAAACCCCTTGCGACCAAGCGCGCCTTGTATCTCGGTGCTTGGCCATCTTCGGAATCCTTCAGTTTGAAGACCCATTTGCACGTTATGGCACTTCGTCCTTGTGGCAGCTTTACTAAGGTCCATGTCTCGTTCCTCGCCAACGAATCCATCTCCTCCTGTAATGCCTGCTCCCATGAAGGCCAATCTTCCCTTTTCCGACACTCTGACACTGTTTCAGGCAAATCTTCTACATACGACATCGCATTCAGCGCGAACCCGGCGTAGTCCACTTCAAAGTCTTTGTGCCACGACGGAGCACTTCGATTTCTGACCGGACGCACACTTCGGTTACTTTCATCGGCCGGGGCTTGTTCTTCATCAACGAAACTCGTGAACTGTTCATCGTCTTGATCACCATCATCACTTATGTCTTCGTTCACCGAATCGTAGGCATCGGAACCTACCGACGCACCCCGGTTATCGTCACTTCTTTCATCTTCTGTGTCATTTTCAAGTCCACCGACACGAATCACTGGAACACCACCTTCTTTCTTCGCGTTCTCTTCTTCGAACGTCTGCTGCTCCAGAAAGTCCACGTCACGAGCGACCACGACCGAATTTTCTGTTTGAGCTGCTTCAAGTTCAAGTGGCCGAACCGGCGGTACCACAATTCAAGCTCCGTTGTGATACGACCACATATCAACACTGACGCACTTTTACAGTCTTCGACCTTAATCAAATCCAGTTCGTAGAGTTTTCCGCGACGCACACCAGTAGCAACAACTTTCGAACCATTGTGAATACTCACACGTCCATTATCGAACACAACTCGCATTCCTTTCTTCTCCACGTTCAACACAGAAAAAAGATTGAACCGCAGAGTGGGGACGTACAATACGTTCGTCACAATACAGGGGATGCACTTACCGTTGACGACGGATTGCAACCTTACCGTCCCGGAGTGGTGCGCTACGATTGACTGTCCGTTCTTTGCCACCGCGATTTCCACCGGGTTTTCCAGTAGAACGAGCTCATCAAACAGCTCCCTGTCCTTCGCCATATGGTCGGTGCAACCGGAATCCACAAACCATTGCACCGTATGACGATCCACATAATCGACGCAGTCCGTCGCACTCACAAACACCACCGCACCATCGCCTGCCAAATTCGCTTTGGATTGTTTACACACTTTCACATTCTTCTGCTGTTGGTGTTGGCTACGTGGGCAATCCGACACTTTGTGCC